ACCCATTGTAACTAATTCCGGTGTACTCATCTGTAAGAATGCACAACACGTTTAGTTACTCGAATGCCATCAAATTGATGTGATCATCTTGTCGAAGACCGCTCCGAATATTTATTTTATTTATTTATTTATTTGTTACAGTCTTACGACTTAATAATACAACTATGATATTCGTACATATGTATATGAATTATAATGTTCTTATTGCAAAAATTATCAATTAAATATAAAATTATGTATACAAAAACTATATATATTATATTACATATGTCTATATTGGGCCACATGAATAAAAATATGCAATTGGCCCCTCCAACAAGTTCCGACCTTCCACTTCAATTTATTTGAAAAATCGAGTACAAGGTCGAAAATTCCCAGAAAACGCAATTGCAGTTCCCAATCATACGGCAGAGCAGGCAAATTAGGCAAGTGGTCTGAGCAGGCAAGTTCCAGGCCATATTGTTAGGGCAGTTGGAAAGGACTAGTTTCCAATCTGCACCTTCCCATCTCATATTATTGCCACAATTGTTAGTGCAGTTGGAAAGCACTAGTTTCCAATCTGCACCTTTCCTTCTCATATTATTGCTTCAGTTGTTAGGGCAGTTAGAAAGGACTAGTTTCCAATCTGCACCTTCACTTCTCACATTGTTTCTTCAGTTGTTAGGGCAGTTGGAAAGCACTAGTTTCCTATCTGCACCTTTCTTCTCACCTGGCTGCTTCAGTTGTTAGGGCAGTTGGAAAGCACTAGTTTCCAATCTGCACCTTTACTTCTCATATTGTAGCTTCAGTTGTTTGGGCAGTTGGAAAGGACTAATTTCAAATCTGCACCCTCACTTCTCATATTGTTGGTTCGGTTCGATCAGGATTTCCGATGTTATACACGCTGTCTGAATGGACTAGATCCAGAGCAGAACTGTTTGATAGGGTAGGAGGACGGTGCTTCGGGGATTGGTGTTTCGACTCTGTCAAGATTTGCAGATTCAGCAAGCTGTCTGAGTGGATTGGATCCAGAGCCGGATGGAAAGGATTTGTTTCCATGCCGAGCCTCTACCTGGTAGGTAGTGTTCGACAGTGGTCAAGTAATGATCTCTGGAAGCTGGCAATGCTTTCACAATTTCTTGTTTGTGGCGGTAGTTCGTTAAAACACTTTAATCCTTTGTAGAATATGTTCATTTTATCCACTTCTGTCCTATAAAACGGCAATCTAACGCTATTATTTTCCCTGAGTATGAATGAATGAGTTTCATTTATATATCTGATATTGTCGGTCAGGTAGTCCGGCAACCGACCATTCTTTATATTGAATACGAATTACATGGCGTGATAAAAAATTTGCTGCTTAACACTCAGCCAGTTCATATCAGCGAGCATCTCTCGTGTAGGTGCATCGTGACGCTTATTCAGTATAAATCGCATCGCTCTGTTTTGTATTTTTTGTAACTTGTCGATTTGTGTATCGCTTGCCATGAAAAAGATCGTTGGACAATATATGAAGTGTGGTTCTATTATGGACCTATAACTAGTGTTTTATATCTTCTTCCTAGGTACTTACATGATCTTTTCATGAGACCAATTTTTTTAGAATTTTTATTTACTGCATAATCAAAATGCTCATCGAATTTTAACTTATTATCAATGTATATACCTAAGTATTTAATGATTTTTAGCTCCTC